CGTAGTTTTCTAATGATTCGTTTTTTAATACAATTAGTTAAATGATATAAATAAATGATTAAAATTTCTCAATATTTTAATATACTAACTTTCGAAGATTAGGTTCAGCATAATTTACTTGGGTTCTTCTTCGTTTAAAATCACCATTATCATCTTGATCGACTGATGTATCTTTATTGTTTATAGGAAAAAATAAAATATTATATCAATATCTATAAAACTAATATATATGTATAAGAAACCTAGTTTTTTTATTAATTACCATCTTCATTATTAGATAAAGAATCTGACTTAATAGCTTCATCATGGTTATTAGGCGGATAACTTTTTTTAATTTCTACCAAAGTGTCAAAGTTGTCGAAACTAGCTAATGGTGATAACGACAACGACAACGGCGGCGGCGGCGGCGGCGATGATGATGATGATGAACCTGGTCCTGATTGATTAGAAATTTCTGTTATTCCGTTATCATTATCATTATCATTATGAGCATAGCTATCAATGGCATTATTACTAATACCACCATATTCTACAATTTGAAGTGGGTTACTAATATCAAAAAGAGTGATGGAATTTGGATGATCGGTTGTTGTAATTGTTGGATAATCATTTATTATTAACGATGAGAATGAAGTTGAAGATGTTGATGGTAAAAAACTTGATGTAGAATCTAACGATATTGGACTATGTTCTGATGATGATTGTAAAGATGAAGAAGGCCTATTAAAATCATCTCTACAATAATGAAGATTTTTAGTTTTTTTTTTTATTAAATGAGGGAATGTATTTTAGTAATTTTTTATATTTCGTGCATACATTGTATTTACTTTCTCTATAAGAACAGGAGATTCTTCAATAGTCTCCAATCTCTTATTTTCTTTCTTAATAAAACCAGAAAGCTAAAGGTGAATAAACAAATATATTTAATTGAATAGTTCGTTATATTAAAGTAATAGAAATAATTACACAAATTTTACCCTTTGCTTTTTTTTCTTGGGCATTGCTTCTAATTTAGTTTCGAGGTCGAGGTTGAGAGGATCTTTTGTCATATTATTATTATTGGCACAAGTTAAAATGCCTTCATCTGAATCGATGGAATTAATAGCCGCTTCGAAAATCCCTTCAATTATTTCAGATATTTGTGAATAAGCGATCTAAAGAAAACATGCATAAATATTAATAGTCAATGAGAATGATTAATAAATAGCAGACTATAAATATTAACCTTTAATTTATTTTTAAGTATCTCTTTATTTGAACTGTTTATTTTATTTAGTTGATTAATTTTTTGTTGCAGGTCTATAATT